AAATTCAGGAAAATCATATTGTTAGTTTCGAAATCGAATGGGCAAATCCCTTCTGCCCATCACAGTCACGACCTTGGAAATATCAAGGGTACCAATTTGAGATTGTGGGAAGGTGTTTCTGGGATGTTTCGTTCTGAAAATGGGACCGTTGTGAAATGAAGTCACCTGATGATTTTTTGACATCAGAAATCACATAGATCGCTCGAGGTGTAGCACTTCAAATATTGTTTATAGATATCCATTGAACCAATGGCAAATAATGAGAAGAGAAATCGGGAAATATTCGACGTAGAATTCAGCAGACTCTACTGATTTGCCATCTCAGTTCTTTCAGTGAACATTACAAAATAAACACGCTGGTTTCAAACGCTATTCATAAAAATACAATATCAAAATCACCCGCATCAGCCCTACGCCAGCATTCTATTCAACAAAGCGAAACAAATAGGAGCATATTTGCATGAATTCAGTTTTGCCAACACTAAATAATTTGCATCTACTTTCAGCAAACTTTGTGTAATTAAAACTGGGGCTTTTTATGAAATGGAAGTGTGATGTGAATGCTTTGCCATCCGGCCGCTTTGTTAGCTTTTCAAACACCTTTTATGACGCGACACCTTCACACAAAGGGCCGAGGAATGGAAGAAATGACAATCAATGTTCCTTGCGGGAAATAATTTCCAACATCTCTTCTTATTTCTCGTCAGGCTTAATGATGGTTTTAGTAATCTCGCTGATGGAAGTTGACCTTCGAGTCATCTCAGTGAGACGTATATTGAGATCTTTCAGAACGAATGGGGTGATTATTTCCTTTAGAACGAACATTGATTTTATGAACATGGAGGATCAGTGTGAATGAATGATGGAAGAAACGAATTTGAAAAGAATACGAACAACCAATATCACACTGGATGAATTAATAGATTATTCTCCTTTGCTAAGAGGCTAGACAAACAATATACACGATCTTGCATTTTATCAATTGCACCAGTGAACTCCAGTGCTGAGTTCATAAATCAGCTCAGAGTATGCTGTTTTTATTTCAAGTGTACTCAGAGTATTCGTAATGTGTTTTTTAATCATCATCAGCTGTACTCTGTACATTCTCCGAAAGAGAGTTTAATATAATGACCTCTTACTTGATACCTTCAACAAACAATTAGAATTTCAATTCCGACTGGGGAGGACTGGATTTTCCTGGAGAAAAAGGAGGTTGGTCGGAAAGTAGCCGATCGGTTAAAGTGCGTGGTTTGATCTACTCTCTCAACCGACCGCTGTGTGAATCGGTGGTTCAACAAGCAAGGCCGGACGATTGTTTTCCAGTTTCTACCGTCCAACTCGTGTTAGGAATAACACTTTAAGAGGTGAAACCTCGTTAATCCTTAGCTTGCACAAAATTCGACATTTGAGAGCGACATCTGGTTAACGGAGAAACATATTTCAAAACAGACAGAGAACAGAGATATAAACGTGCCTACCTATGAAATTGTATATCAGGCAGAAATATATGCCTTAAATATTTGTGTGGAGAGGTTGGTGGAAACTAATCCCACACATAGATTAAAATTATTATTCGATACCTAAGTGGCTCTGCCAGTATCAATCACCGTCCAAGTTGGAGGTGAACTATCAAAAAAAATCTCCTTAATAGGAATACTCAAATAGTAAGTGACTTGTAAAAAAGCATAATGCAAGCGGTTTCATCGGACCAGAATATGGCATTGACATATTTTTAGGTTATGCCTGGAGAACACTGTATACCTAAACAGCAAGAAAAGTTTTAGACTTGTCATAATCTACCAGTAGTCACATCATTAAAATTATGTCACCAAATGGTTGTTGGACTACAGCAAGTTTGCTTTACGTTATCTAACATGCCTACATGTAAGTCTACGAATATTTCATTTGAATCACCATATGAAGAGACCTGTTTGGGAGATCATGAAAACGCTTCATTTGTGTTTTGCGCCTGTGCCGCTGCTGAGCAAATAAGGAGTCCAATGATTGGCAAAGTTTCACTCTCACCATTCGACTTCAATAGTGAACTTTTGAGTTTGAATTTCTTTAAGCCATAAGAAACCTCAGCCGCTTGTACTGAACGGTCAAATGGAGCTATTTACCTACATACTGACCTACCTTACCGTTTTCTTGGTTCGCGATACCAAGGGAGATTGTGCCCTTTGAGGAAGTCCTTCAGATGTTTACTTTCCTCAGAGAGACTCACAAGTAATACTTTGATCACAAAGATCAACAGGCGACCTTCTATCGAATATCACCCATATTTGGAATGACACAACGAAGGAACATTGAGAGTTGAGAGCTGTTGCGCTGGATACCACAAAAATATTTGACCGTGTGTGTGATGAGGGTTTGCTGGCCATACTACGATGCTATGGCTTGTCCGGCCATTTTTGTATATGGCTCTCCAGCAATATAATGAATTCTTGAAAAAAAACAAGTATCCTATACATTGGGCATCAATATGTCTTGACACAATCATGTCGCTGGAATTGCAAAGGCTGCTTCTCAAAAGCTTGAAAAACTGTTCCGAATCAGAAAACTGTACACACCTCAGCAACTTTTGATGCTTCATAAAGCTTAGATCAAACCTTCTTTGAAGGTCTGAGCTCCATACATGTTCTCATGTATGGAGGTTCAATCCAATATACCTCGAACTTCATTGCTTGGGAAATCTTTCATTTGGAGAACTGCTTTCATGTGGAATAAATTTCCTGAGAACGTTTTTTCAAATGAATTCAATGTTTGTCGATTTGAAGCCAATGTAAATCGCTTCTTTCGCACAGGCACCGCTCTGAGAGCGCCTCGAGTATTTTTCTGTAATGCTTGGGTTTTGTCCTGAAAACAAGAAGTTGCTCTTCAACTATGTTTCAGTATCAAAAATATGGTTTTACGGCCACTTTGAGGTGAATTATTCGAATTTTTCCAAGAAAATGTTTCGAATAATTAGGTTTTTGGAAAATATTGATCTATATACAGAAGAAACTGTAATAAGAAGTGACAAAATAAAAAGAAAATAATCGAATATCGTAATTTTGATATTAGAAAACAATTTATCAAAACAAAATTTTCTAGGACTCAGAAGTTATTTTTGTTGCCGCTGACTGGCGTTGTCTGTCGAACAAATTTTCACCAGGAATGATCTCATACCAGTATCAACCTAAACAGTTGGAATACTATAATGCCCTGTCACTTAACGTCTCGCATTTCCTGCATGTTCCTGCTACTCATATCTCCCATTATTTTCCAGCCGCCTTTTGACGCCTTTCAATTTCCTTTCCAATCTAGCCATCATTCACAAACATCTTCAGAAACATAAATTTGTTCATTTCGTGCTTTCCATCAGTTTCCATCCTTTTATCAGTGGTATTTTTTCCGCCACGTTTTCCTGGGTTTCATTCAATTTGAAAAACGTATATTTTGCATGAAAAAGTTTCCGTGAAAAAACGTCAATAGAGATATCTATTATTCAAATGTTTTCCAGGGTAAACGTGGAACAGGTCGAAATGACATAGAATGTGTTGGGTTATCTGAAAAATCGTCGACAGCAAGTGCTCATTTTCGAAAATGCTACTAAGAGTCGATATTAAAAAAAATGTATCGTTGACTTGACGTCAAGTTTTCGAGATACCGCGTATTTTTCAAACAAATCAATGAAATATTTTTCTCCGCAACCAGTTAGTGGATAATTAGCGCAAATTCATGGTCTAGTGAAGGTTCTGAATAATTCAACGATGAAAAAATTTGTATCACTAATTTGACGTCATATTAGTGGGACGCAATACATATATGAAGAAAATAATATGTTTACGTCCGCAACTAATTAGTGAATGATTAGGGCTTATTCATAGTTTAGTCAAAGTTTCGAAAAACTAAATAGTGGAAAAAATTGTGCCGTAAACTCGACGCAAGTTATCGAGACAACAGGTATTTTTCAAACAAATTAATGAAACTTTCTTATTAGTCAGTGGGCTATGCTTCAAGACTGGTAGTAAACAAATGATAGTCAATGATATTCCATAATTGAAAATCGAAATTCTTTCAGAGTATTCCATTCCTCGTCTTGAGTTGGAGGGAACAACAAAAATGCCACTCCATCTAGTGGACGAGATACTAACTACAACTACTCCACAGTAGCTGGATATAATCCAACGCCGTTCGTGGTACTAGCCAGTGGGGTAGTTGTTTTCTGATAGGCGTCAGTCCATTCAGCCTTCTGTGTAGGTATATCTTAGACTGACTTGAACTTTTAAAGTTTATTTCTTTAGATTAAATTGATGAAATATTTTATTCCGCAACTAATTAGCGGAAGATTTGCGCAAATTTGTGGTCCAGTTGAAGTTCTGAAAAACTCAACAATAAAAAAAATTAACCCAACATCAAGTTAGCGGAACACAACAAATTTTTTCCGCAACTAATTAGCGAATAATTAGCGCAAATCTACAGTCTACTCAAAGTTCTAGGAAACTCAATAAACGTCATGTTAGCGGGGTGTGATGTATATGAATGATCTGTGATAGTTTGGTGCTAAGCCATTTCAACTACTGTGACTTCATATATGGGCCATACCTATATGATTCAGATAAAAAAAAAATACAAAAAGTACAAAATTCTTGTTGCCGCCTAATTCATGGAATTCGTAAGTATGATTCAATTTCTGAAGCCTTTAAAAACTCCCGCGGGCTCAATATGAAAAACCGTCGAACTGATGAAATACAAATTATGAAATTATGAAACAACAAGTTGTATCCCTAATTTTACCAAAACCTCGTATATTTTTGTAATAAAGGACAAAAAAATATTTTGTTTCGCAAGTAATTAGTAACAAGGAAGCGGCAAATTGTGGAATTGTAAGTTTTGCATTTCTCAACAGTGTCTCGTTAACTCAATGTTCAGAAGTTTGCCAGTTTTTGGTACTCATTGACGCGACTATCAGTCTGCCGATGGTCGATGATGAAGTAATAATTGATAAACATACATACCTCTATCGACGGAGCGACAACATGCCTCCCAGCAAGCTGTGGGTGGTGGTGGTGGTGCGTGGGGGTTGGTCTGGGAAGATCGTGGAGGTCTTCGTAAATGCCCGCCGCCGTGTTTACATCACAGTTGTTTTGGGGTGAGTTTTTACAAGGGAGAAAGTTTTGCACTTTCCTTTTGTGCCTGCAACAAAAGCCAATTATCAGAGTGATAGACAGTATCAGCGAGGCGCGTTATGTTTCATTCATATTTAAGTGAGGGGAAATTATTCTGCAGTGATTACTTTTAAAGCGGGATTTCATGTTAAACTCCGCGGAAATTGCCCGAAAAACAATGAAACCGGAAAACGTGCACGGGACGATGAAGTATGACGCAGAAGGGCATTAAAAATGAAATAGATGGAGTGGAATTTACTGTTTTCTAGTCTATTTCATACACAATAAAGCAATGAATAATTTACTCTTTCGGCGAGTTTGAATATAAGAGCTTGATTTATGTGAGTTCGTCGTACATTGACATACATACTGAAAAATACACGACTTGTTTTGCTACAGTTTCATTGGAAACTGCAGTTGCATAGGCTCATTACGTTTTTTCTTACACCTCTTCATAAACCCCGTTCCGAAAACCTAGTTTTAGAGAGTGGTCCCGAAATGCCCGGCCCAACAAATAAAAGACAAAAAATCTCATTAATACACTTCATTTTTACTATGAACACGAATATTTTGGAAAAAAAGGATTTATTTTTTACTAGAATTGACCGATACTTAATGGAAATCCATATTGAAACTCAGTTTATCGAAAGATTTTCACTATAGTGAAAATCATACATTGAATTTTATTAATGAGTATTCATTTTTCAACATAACCTCCATGCAGCTGCAACATTCAATGATTTCGATACCGTTTTTCTCGATATCGATACGTTGTTCCTCAAAATAGCCATTAACTGCCGACATCAGTTCTCGACTCTAGCGATATTTCAAACTACAGGGCAATTTCAATTTTATGTAAGTTTTCTAAATTCTTCGAGATATGTGTGCAAAATGTTATGTACTCCCATATTCAAAAAGTCATTTCTCCTTTTCAGCATGGTTTCCTACAACAAAGATCACATCTTGCATGTTCAAATCAATATCTCTGTATGTAACTGGACACGCAAAATCAAGTCGATGTTGTTTAATCAGACTTCGAAAAAGCCTTTGATCAAATAGACCATTATGTTCTTCTTAGCAAATTGACAAAATTTAGACTCTGTAACCAACTGCTTACTATAATTGAATCATATTTTTAATTTTTATCAATGACTTGGCAACTTCTTTGAATATCCTCAGCCTACTGTTTGCAGACGACCTGAAACAATATTATAAAATCGACGACATTACTGACTGTCAACATCAGATAAAATATCTTGGTATAACATACGACAGTAAATTAACATTTACAGCACATATAAGGAATATGACTGCTGATGCAAATAGAATGCTTGGATTCATTTACAGAAATGGCAAAAACTTCAAAAGTATTGCCACCTTGAAATTGCTATATTTTGCGTATGCCGGATCGAAGTTAGAGTATGGCTCTGTGTTATGGAATCCAGTTTACGACTACCAAAAAACATCAATTGAGAGCGTACAGAGGAAGTTCTTAAAATACTCATGTCTAAAAGTTGATGGACCTTGTCTGAAGATGAAACCGTCTTCGCCTTCTTTGAAATTTTTTAAGACATAATCTCTTGGATATATACTATGGTCTATCACATATAGTCAGTGGGCATACTTGAAGACTGGCTATAAATCAAATTATCTAAGAACAATTCTATATTAAGGTACGTTCATATACATTCCTATTTGCTAACAATAAATGAGGAAATTCACTCTCATCAAACGAAACTGAGAAACGACTTCCATCAGAAAAAAGTAAACCGTAATGAGTACAAATGTTCGCCACTTTATGCCGGGGCAAAATACTTCAACTCATTACCAAAGAGCATCAGAATTGAAACAAATTTTCTCAAATTCAAGAAAAAAGTCAAAGACTTTCTGATAACAAGTTGTTTTCACTCCCTGAAAGAGTATGAACATAATATTTTTGTGTAACATGTGTTTGTGATGCACTGTTTGGAACTTTTGGTGTAGTAATGGAAAATACTGGAGTTTTTCCCAACATCAAATCGTTATTTCAACACCTCGACACGCATTTCGATCACCAACCGATCATCTTCAAGCAAACACGTGTTGGTAATGATATAAATGATATTAAATAAAATATCTTTTCTAAAATGTGAAAAAAAAAACACTTTAACTTTGACTATCATGAAAGTATCAACAAAATTACTCCCCATCGTTGTCCCTAACTATCAAGGATGCTTGAAATGAAGTCCTTTTAAAATAAATATTCGGTAAATCAAAAAAAATTTTTTCTATGGAATTATACCCATTGTGTTATAATACTTATATTCGTACATCATTTATTTTGCAATGAGGAACAGGAAATTAATGTTTTTCAAGAATCTCGAATAGATTCACTAACGGAAAAACACCCTCTAGATATTCAATATTTCACACAATATCTCGAGTTTGACTTTCGTGAATTGTAAATTTTTTTGAGTAATCATATTTCAGTTATCGCAAAGGGAAACAAAGTAATTTTGATCACGTTTATGGAATGTTTAAAACCACAGAGCTCTACCCAAAAACCACAAATTCAAAGGGAAAGGACGCCATTAGCCCTTTCTCGCCTAATGACTTCCTGAAGACGGTAATGGGAAGCCAGTGATAATGAGTCGCGTCATTTTGATTAATTGATACATATTGGGGCACTTTTTAAACTTCACTACTCACACTCTGAACTGAAAGGAAATAAAATGCCGCGATTACTTTGGTTGCCCATGCCATCATGTTTGACATTTGAGAAATGAAATCACAATTATAAAAATACAAGCATGAGAGACGTATAAATTAAAGAATAGGTGAAACAGAAGTAGGAAAGGGCACAGAAAAACCTATAAAATTTGTAATAGAGATCTTTCGTACAAGAGAAAAAAGTTTCAGCTAATTCTATAAAGAAGCAAAATCGATAATGGTTTCTAATCTGTCAGTTTCAATTTACACCATACATTTTTTTAAATTATCTACTGAATTTCACTGCATGGCAAAACATGGAATCAATCGTAACAGAAATATATGTATTATTAGACAAGAGTAAAGTTGAAAGAATCAAATACCTTTTCAATATAATAAAAAACAATTCATAGCTATCAATCATGAAACCGTTTGATGAAAATCAAGTGTGATATAATAGGAATCGCTCCTTGAAGTAATTTTGTTTATATTTGGCATACGCAGATAACGTAGAAGAAATAATGGCTTAATGCGCCTGAATGGAAGCAAAAGTCAATAACATAGGGAGAAGAGTCGAATGAATAACTATTGATAGCAAAACATGTTCAATTCAATGCTAATAAATCTAGAACAATCGATCCCATGATAAGCAGAAACAGTGAATAAAATGGTCTTTAGTTTTGATAACTATCAGTAGATTAGCAGTGTCAATCTGGTTAATGAATTCTCGATATCTATGACTTTATATCCTCACGGTGAACATCTTAAGAGTAAGCTCATAGTTTAGAAAGTAGAAACTTTTCATCGATATTCATTTATTCTGCTTCTTTTTTGCAATTTTTCATTACTTTTATGGAGAAGAAGAAGACAAAAAAGGTTTCTCGAAACTTCAACCTTTCCACGAAATACTTCTCACATTGTCAAATTTTTGAAAAGTACCCAATCATTTGAATGCGACTTTCAGCTTTAAAAGCGAACAAATATTGTCAATGACTCAAAATGAAAGCACTATAGCCAGTAAATAAATTTGAAAATCTCTCATACAGCACAGTGAGTTTCATGATTATTATACGCAGGAAAAGTTATTAGGATTGAAAATATAAAACTGCGAAACAACTCAACAAAATTCCAACCCACGGTCTCCCGGACGATCTTAACGAGCCTCATCTTACAAATTCTTCGACAACTGAGAATGATGGTCCCATAATAAAGCGCATAACATATCTGAGGCGACAAGAAAATCTCCGGGCCATTGTGAAAGTTCCATTTCTGGGATATCTAACATGTTTTTGTGTGTATTTTGTCATCGTTCATTGTTAGGTCCTTCAAGGTGGAAACAACATTGCAGTCAACGAATTCCAATCTCGAAATTAGGACCAGCCAACTACCTACTTAGCGATTTGACAAAAACCATGCGTAGGTCTGGGGATTTTATCTAAAGTATGCCACTTGATGCCGGCAAAGACCACCTTAATGACGCGGCTTGTGGTTTTTTATCATTTATGGCTATTCTTACGCGTTTTAGTTCAAACGCTCCTTTTACTAACTAGTTCTTGATAGTTTTATCTGAAGTGTGAGTGGATTCCTTTTTACCTTGTTTCAGGGGCAGAACAACAGATGTAGGGCCTTATGTCATTATGTGTAAAACATGCATGATAATTCTAGTAGTTATGACTAATTGTTGCCCACGGCTTCGCCCTTGTAGAATTATGTTTCGTGACAGACCATTTTAAACATATACTTACAATATTTTTGTTTACCCAAAACTTCAGGTGTTCAACTTCAAAACTGACGAAATTCAATACAATTATTGAACCCCTATTTTTTCCTCCTTGAGGGTGGAAATTCCTCAATCCCCACCGTGATGCTTATTTACGATGTACAAAGAACCTACCTGTATATGACTCAGTATTTTCCACATAAGAGGAAGATTACTATCGCAGACTTTTATTTAAAACTATATAAGGTAAACAATCCATTCTCACAAACTTCCACCTGTATATTAGGTATATTAGATAGATAGATAGACAGATATATAGATAGATAGATATAGATTTGGCAAACGGTGTGTGCTTCAATAAAAGACAAAAAAATAATGTATAAGTCGACGAGACAAATCAAATGGTAACTTTCAGAAACCGATATTTGTTGCCACTTTATCAACGATAATAAAAAAACGACTTGTTTGAACAAGTATATTTACAAATTTCAAGTCAATAAAACGGACAAAAAATCAATAAAAAGAACATCGTTGACAACTAAAACACCGATTCTCACAGTTTCATCATTATTTATTTCTCCGACGATTTTAAAATTGGATCATTGGATCAGCCATAAGTT